AAATATCTTAAGGTTAATAACAGGTAGACCCTTGTATTATCGCCTAGTTGCGGATAGACCCTCATTAGTTTTATTGTTGTATGCAGACCCCTGAGGAAGTTTTTTGACACTTTTACCCTCAAAGAAAGACTTTTTTTTTGTTCTTGTGGAAAACAGACTTCCTAAGGTGAAACAGTAAAAAAAATTCACTCACAATGTCTATTTGCAGCAAGAGAACATTTAACATGGAGTTTATATATCGAGATCCCCAAAATATTAACCTTACCTTTTCACAATTACACGTTAACAGGGATGGATGATCCTGGTAACATCACTTTGCCTGGTGGATTGCATGACACGAAAAGGATAAACTACTTCAAGAGTTACATAACTGAGCTCAAGAGGGCAGTGGATGATGGAGCGAACGTCATAGGTTATTTCGCTTGGTCGTTGCTGGATAATTTCGAATGGACGAAAGGGTACACTTCAAGGTTCGGTTTAGTGTACGTCGATTTCGAGAACCTCAAGAGGTACCCTAAAATGTCGGCTTATTGGTTTAGAGATATGCTTGAGAGGAAGAAGAAGAATTAGTCGGAATTGCTACTAGAGCTTTATATATATCTTATTTGAACTTGTTATTGAGAGTTTAAGTATGTATTTTAGTGCGTTAGTTGTCGCAATAAGATTAAATTGGTGACTGCACTGCATTCAGTATGGATCTAGACCCTATGTTAACGTCTGTTCATTCTGTGAGAATATGTACAAATTAGATTGAAGCAAGGATTGAATAACGAATGCTTTTGCATATATACGATTTTGGATTTATTTTCTCTATATTGGTATGATAATCACGTTTATAGTACAAAGTATGTAGCTATATCTATTGAAGGTACATATAAAAGGAAAAATTAATAACAATCATATGTTTGCAGCTACAATAACATTTGTTCTCAACCAAGAGGAAAAGTATCAAGTGTATCAGATCTATTTTGTCCTCAACACTAGTAGAAAAATGAACAAACTAGACGGAACAACCTAGACGGAAAATATTTCCATCTAGGTTGCTTCGTCTAGTTTGAGGCATTCTAGACGAAAGTTTTAGTCTAGAATGCCAAACTAGATGGTTTATATTTTTTTAAAAAAAATTATTAGCAACCTAGATGGAAATTCCGTCTAGGTTGTGTTAAAAAAACAAAACCTAACCCTACACCCCCCCGAAAAAAATCCCCCCGCCACCCCACGTCCTCACTAGCACCTCCCGCCTGCCCCCTCTTTCTCCTCTCCCTCTTCGTCTCCTTCTGAAACATATGATTGTCTGTTGCAGTGTCATGTGGTGCTAATTTAATTTCGTTGGGTGAGATGACATCACGTGAGTACAAGTATGTGGGTGAAGGAGAATGGTGCAAAGTGTATAAAGATGGTGATTTAATTTTGCGAGGGAGGAAGAATAGCAACCGTATTTGCTATTTAGATGGGCGATCCGTTAATAGTGTAGATTACTCTTCTCAGACTCTTGTCCATAAAGGAGAGGTGAAGAACAATGTGAAGAGAGTGAGTTTTTCTGAAGTCGTTGAGACACTTGGAGATTTTTCGTCGAGGGAGGATATGTTGGGTATCAACTCAAATTCCAAGTTAGTATAGTATTTTTAATTATTTGTATAACTTTATGAGAATTAGATAGGGCTAGAGATCTATCATGATTAGGAGTTTGGGTTTTATAATGATTAAGAGTTTGAATCTTATTCTAATTAGGAAATTAGGCTAGAGATATGGTTTTGATTTCCCTATATATATACTTCTATTGTTGGAGAAAAAAAAAACTAAGAAGTATAGAGAGAAGGAGAGAGAATGAGAGAGAAGGTAAAGTACTGTTCGTATCACAGGAGGATCCTTCATCCCACCAAGGCTTGCTTCGCTCTCAAGAATAGCATCCAAACATTGGTTGAAGCTGGCGTTATAACGCTAAATTAAGCCAAATGATGTCTCCGACAAGTATAAGAGTATAAACTGCTCCTTCCGACACTCCGAAGAGTATACGAGTATAAACTGCTTCTCAATTTTTCAATATGTATATGAGGTTAAACTGCTCACTGCATACTCCAACAGGTATATGAGTCTAAACTGTTTCCTTTTTTTCACGGGAAGCTCCTGGAGAGAGTGGCATGCCTGGTATTCTTAAAGATAACCCGGTCATCCAACTAAGTACAATGTTAGATCCAGTTTTACAAAAAAAGCTAGGTATAGATGATTCATGTAATAGGAAGTTTCCGGAAGAATGTTACATGTAATATTCTTAGGGATAACCCGGTCATTATAAATAAAGTGATAAACACTAAACTCCTGTTGTTAAAGTCCTGACATAGCACTGAAAATTTTAATTCGAATGGTCTATTGCGATTATCAAATCCCCTTCGTGTTAATATCTTATCATTTGACATCAAAAACCCCCACTAAGTGATTCGTACAAGTCAACACTCCCACTGTGATTTATACTTTTACTCTCACTTGGTCAAACCTTTAAACAATTAGGAATACAATCAAAATCCCCTCTCGATTCTTTCTATGAATGAGAGGTTGACAAATTAAACGATTCAAATCTTTAAACAGTTAGGATCGCTCAAACCACCCATTTGGTCAAACCTTCCTATAGTTAGTGTCATCTTGAATTTCCGCTTGGTCAAACCTTCCTACAATTAGGGCCAAAATAACAATTCACTCTCGATAAATGAGAAATTCACCTTTAGTTTGGTAATCAAACCTTCCGATAGTTAGGATTATCCGAATCTTTTTGATTTTCAGTGTGGAGATCCCACTTTTAGTTTCACTTTTCAGATTCTCGAAGTAGAGATCCTACTTTGAGTTTTCTTTGCAAATGGAGATAGAATACGAAATTCTTCCTCTTCAGCATCGAGTTCATCTTTGCCACAAAAGAAGACACTACTTTTCAACTCCCAAAATCCGCGCCTTATACGCATGGGGAATTTTATCCCGAATCTTAAGAAGGGATAAGCTAGCGCCTAATACGCGTTACCGGTTTAGTCTTTCACCGATTGAAGAAGATACCAGAATCTAAGTCTATGGACTTTTATCCCGAATCCTAAGTAGGGATAAGTCAACGCCTAATACACGTTATCGGTTTAGTCTTTCACCGATTGAAGAAGATACCATAATCCAAGTCTGGAGACTTTTATCCAGAATCCTAAGTAGGGATAAGTCAACGCCTAACACGCGTTACCGGTTTAGTCTTTCACCGATTAAAGAATACACCAGAATCTAAGTCTGGAGACTTTTATCCCGAAGCCTAAGTAGAGATAAGTCAGCGCCTAACACGCGTTGCCGGTTTAGTCTTTTACTGATTGAAGAAGACACCATAATCTAAGTCCGGGGACTTTTATCCCGAAGCTTAAATAGGGATAAGTCAGCGCCTAACACGCATTTCCGGGTAGTCTATTCCCGTGAGAAAGACAAAATCTACGTATTTAATATCGTAGCACTAGGAGAGTTAACTCTCTTAGCACAACGTCACATGCAGAACAGACTTTAACAATCCGCATGCAAGCCTGATTTAAACGGTATTAGGTAAAGGCACATCAAATCCGTTGAAGGCTGAGGTTTTATCAAAAATCCTAAGTCTACGTCTAATACACGTTACCGTTTAGTCTTTTCACGGGAGAAAAATGAAGTCTAGGTATTCAATATCGTAGCACTAAAAGAGTTAACTCTTTTAGCACAACGTTACGTGTGAAACGGATTTGAACAATCTGCATACTAGCCCGACTCAAATGGTAGTCGGTAAAGGCTAATCAAACCCGTTGATGGCTGAGAATTTGCTAAAAATTTTATAAATACGATAGTCATTGATGTACCAGTTCCATTAATTGGTCTCGCGACTTAAGGATCTGACAACTTCAGGATAAGATCTATTCATGCAGATGAATCAGGTTTAACAGTTGGTCCTGCAGGCCTAACATTTGGGACCGCCCTGATCCAATAGCTTAAGAGCTTAAACTGTGTATACTCCAGCAAACGTATGAGTATAAACTATGTCAACGCCGATCGATGCAAAACCCTAAGGTTAACGTCGGCCAACGCGTAGCCCTAGGTTAATGCCTGTCAATGCATTGTGATGAAAGTCAACGCTGATCGATACGAAACCCTAAGGTTAACGCCGGTCAACATGTAGCCCTAGGTCAACACAAGTCAACGCTGATCGATACGAAACCCTAAGGTCAACGCTAGTCAGTGCGTAGCTCTGAGTCAATGTCAGTCAACACGTAGCTCTGAGTCAATGTCGGTCAACGCGTTGCGATGGAGATACGCGGTTCAAAGTCAACTCAATGACACGAGCCAAAACCAACTCACAAATTTTGATTCGAGACTTTGACGACGACCAGACGATAAACGCAACGTCGGAGGAATTTTAGCTATTCGTCAAAATATTAAATAGACCGAAAATCGAAGAAGTCAAGAATCGAAACCAACTACAGGTCCTTTCTCATTGACTGAATGTTGGACCGATCACATCCAAAGTATTTCATGCTCTTCTATAAAAAAAACGAGACTGAAACACTTTAGAGGGGGTATCTTTAGGCATCAAAAATTACCCACGGATTCCCGCACGATGCTTGATACAGAGAGAAGACGATGAATGTCACTATCTGGAGCTTGTAGATATTCTCTTTGGATTTCCTTCACACTTTGAATCCCACAATTCTGAGTTCGGACGACGAAGATACGACGGAAACGGACGGAACGCACAAAACAATGCCCCGGGCCTTAGCGGAGATACTCTACGTGTCTTGGCCTTGGTAGAGACTGTCTCGCTTTGAATCTGAAGAAGCTCAAAAGATGAAAATTGTAGATTTCTCCTCTATATTTCCAACGCATCTTGGATTAACTCATTTCGAGATGGGTTGAGACGCATCTTGGATTAACTCATTTCGAGATGGGTTGAGAGAGTTAGAGGTAAAACAGCAGAGAGACACTTGCACTGTCTCGGCCAAGGCCGAGACAGTTGGACTATCTCGGACTTTATAGAGCAGTTTTGACCATGATTTGCTTCAAATATGAAGAATATTAAAAAAAAAGTTGTAGATCTCCTTGATATCTTTCTAACGCATCTTTGGTCAACTCATTCCAAGATTATATAAGAGAGTTAGAAGCAAAACAACGGAGAGACACTTACACTGTCTCGGCCAAGGCCGAGACGGTTGGATTGTCTCGGATCATATAAATCTATTTTAACCATTATTCGCTTCAAATAAAGAATCTTAAAATACAAAAGTTGTAGAGCTCCTTGTTAGCTTTCTAACGCATCTTAGATCAACACATTTTGAGATCGTATGAGAGAGATAAAGCCAAAATACTGAAGATAATACAAATTGCCTCAGATTTCCGAGATAGTGTTGGTGTCTCAGAATAGAATAGAGATTTTGGCCATGATTTGATTCGAATATGAAAAATCTTAAAAGGTAAAAGTTGTATATATCTTTGTTAGCTTTCCAATGCATCTTGAATCATTTCATTTGGAGGTCATATGAGAGAGTTAGAGGCGAAACAAGCAGAGACACTCTGACTGTCTCGACCAAGGCT